ATCCGTACTCAATGGAGGCTAGTCCATTATTGTTATATCGTTGTAGGTAATCTTTCGTAATCCGTGCTGTGTGACATCGAGCGTTATCATGCATTAGCATAAAGCCGTCGCCGGCGTAAGGAACAACATGGTCTTGGAGAATATCCGTAATTTAACGATCCGCTGTCAAACCCCTTCCACAACCACCACCGGGAACAAACACAAGCTCTGTTTTTCCTTCTAAAGATATACTACCCCAAAACATACACCATACATCCATTGCTTATTGTTTCGATACTGCAGCACTGGACAAATCGTTTTGCGGGCCTCCGATAGACGCAACGTCTTCCGTCATTGTTATACAAACACATTTGACTCTCAACAGAGAATAAAACTCTGCTCAATTGGCCAAGGTTCCAATTGACGTGATCTCGGGAAAACTGAAGTCGAGCTTGTTTCTGACGTGCGTTCATTTTGGGTCCTGTTTTAGCTCGCCTGGGAGTCAAAGTGGCAGCCTTAAGTCTTTTCCTAATTGTTCACGGAGTGACGGTGACATTCTTTAAGAATTGTTGAAGCTTAACTCCTGTCGCGTGCCGATTCGCAGGCACACAGGACAATTAATCGATCGTCCCTCTCTATCGTTACACGTCGCCGACCCGAACCTGATCGCTTGCATGGAATGTAAAAGAGTATTATGGGTTGTTTTTTAACCAGGAGTAATTGAAATTTACCAATGGTAGAGGCACTCGAGAACACCTGCTGAATATAAGACAGATAATCGAGAAATCTAGGGAATCCCACTATACATATGTTTTATAGATGTAAGCGAGTAAAGCGTAAAGTGGAGACACTTATGGCGAATACTAAAAGAAGTAGGCGTACCACAACATCTAATAACGCTTATAACTGAACTATATGAACACACTACTGGATCAGTTAAAGTACTTGACACACTTTCGAACGAGTTTCATCCAGAACTGGGTGTCACACAAGGATGTATACTATCTCCACAATTATTTAACATATATAGGGAGTATATTATGCGAAGAGCACTTGAAGGATGGGAAAAGGGCATCTCAATAAATGGTCATAAACTAAACAACCTACGTTTCGCAGATGACACAGCCCTTATTGCAAATAGTCAAGCAGAGCTGATGGAACTTATACGACTGATCGAAAACGAAAGTCAAATATTTGGTCTGCAATTAAACATATCAAAGACAAAGATCATGATAGTGGATAGACTACACAACAATCATCCACACATAACCACAATTGACCGGTTCGAGGTTGTGAGCTCATACTTATATCTGGGATCATTATTCACAAACACAGGGTCATTACAAGAAGAGATTAAACTTAGATGTGATCTAGCAAAAGTTGCCACAGCAAAAATGACCAAAATATGGAAGGACTGTCAAATTACAAGAGCGATAAAGATGAAGTTGATCAACTGCTTAATATTCCCAATACTGACCTACGGATGTGAATCTTGGACTCTGAGACAATCGGAGAGAAGAAAGATATACGCCACTGAAATGTTCTGTTGGAGACGAATGTTACGAATTCCTTGGACCGACCGTAGAACAAATAATTCAATTTTAAGAGAGCTAAAAGTTAGCCAACGACTCTCTAGTAAAGTCCATCTCTAACAATTAAAATATTTTGGGCGTGTTATGAGAGCAAACACAGAAAACATGGAAAGACTCATAATACAAGGAAAGGTAGAAGGCCGAAGATCACGAGGAAGATCTCCAACAAGATGGACAGATCAAATTACAGGGATATGCCAAAGACCTATGCATGAATTAAAAGAAATGACCAGAGACAGAGATCTCTGGAGACGGACAATACACGACATCACGTCGACCACTACACTCCCCCTGGGGGGTCAGGATTGAAGAGAAAGAATTGAAATTTGCCGCGCCGCAATGCTTTATTTATAAATTTTAAAATTCAAAATTTATATCGACGATTTTTTGTATTTTCTGGGTTATTACTTTAATTTTTAGATTTTTCGTTTGAATTTATATAAAAAACAGTTCTTTTCAGAACTATTTAGCGACGTATTAGTGTTATTAAGATAACAATATGAATTCAATGAAAAGTACTAGTGGTAATCTTTCGCTTAAAAAACGACGAGTAGGTTTGGGTCATTTATCATCAAATGAAAAACAATGCATTATAAATATGTACAAACAAATAAAAATTGATAATCCTGGAATGAAAATAACAGCCATGGTAGCAAAAATAAATGTTAGTTTTGCAGAATAGTTATTGTTAAAATCTAGACTAAAGTAATGTGCTAATTTTAGGTGTTGCAAATTCAACTATTTACGGAACAATTAAGGAATATAAGCAGACTGGAACAGTAAGATGTCCTAACAATATTGGCGGTCGACCTTCTATCCTTCCAACATACGATGAAAGAGTTAAAACATATGTACAAACATCTGTGCGCAGATAGCACACAGCTTCTTTTTCAAGAATGAAATGCCCACTTTAAGTGAAATTAACAACTGCCAGATCTTCCAAAATATGTGTTCCATTAATATATAAATTCTTGAAACAAATCAATTGTACGTAAATAAATATGGGTTAGCCACAATTATATATTAAAATTATCTAAAACATTTTAGAGGTTATCATTTTTATAATCGGGTTACTACCAAATAGTTTTTGGACAAAATCATAAAAACCCAAAGAGCAATGGAAAGACAAATGTTGCATATAAGACTAATGGATAAGAAGAGAAACGAGTGGATAAGAGAGAAAACAAAAGTGAGGGATGTTAGACAAGAAGTTGCAAAATTGAAATGGAGATTTGCCGGACACAATATAAGACAAAAAGAAGACCGATGGAACAAAATTCTTATAAGTTGGAGACCGTGGGAATATAAACGAAGCAGAGGAAGTCCCCAAATGAGATGGGCAGATGATATCAAGAAGCACGTGGGCTCTAGATGGATGACTGTAGCGACAGACAGAGAAGAATGGAAAAGGATTGGGGAGGCCTATGTCCAAAGATGGACCGAAGAAGGCTAATTAGATTAGATAGACCAAATAGTTTTACAATCTTTAGTAGTAACAATATTATTGTTACTACTAAATTGTTTTTGTAATTAAAATGTATGAGCTACATGAGAAATGATTGTAATTGCACCCTTCTTGTTTGATCAAAATATTTTTCCCATTTATAGATATAAGTATAACAGTCTTTGTGTGACATGTTTTTGGAAACATACCAGTGTACAAATATTTTCATTTTTAAGTATCATGTACTTATATTTCACTGTTCTCATTTAAAGATATTATACTTGGTATGTTTGATGATGAGTATTGGGACCGTGCAAGTTCGGAACAGCGACACCTGGTGTCGTGAATCATCAAAATTTACTGCGCTTTCATGTTAGATCGAGGTTACCGGATAACTGTCAAGGACGTAGCCCCAAAAAAGAATAAGAAGAAAAAGTAAGATTGAGGTTATGTCGGTATGTTATTAAAAGGTAAACGTTGTATGTAGTGTAAATACAAATAAATATATTATTAAATTACAGTATTACTGTTAATATGGATGCAATAATAAAAGCTGGATTTAAGAAAGTAAATCAATAAATAACTTTTCAACTAAGCACTGAGTCAAAGGGAAAAGCTTTAGTAATGACAAATGTCAAAAAAGAATGGGAGAATTATGTGGAAGAATTAAGAAAAATAAATTACCATAAATAATGCTAATGCATGAATTAGCAGGTTAAGCCCATGATATTATCATATTGGTTTGAACAATTAATTCTTTCCCTGTAAACTTTTGGACAGCGAACATATCTTAATGCATCTTCACAAAAACTTGAACTTGATGCATTTTTCTAAACTACAAAAAAATATAATTTAAACATTAAACTTGATTTTTGGGTTAAAATGAACTCTAAGTGAGTGTTATGAAACTAAAAGTTACACTTAAAAGTGAACTTTTATTTATTATTTATTTGAAACTGACTTTAAAATCGGGCGCAAGAATAATGCATAATTTAGGTTATGTTACTTATGCTTTTTTATGATATAAATCCACTTTTCTCTTTGTAGTAATTCTGCTTTGAAGTTGGAAACGAATAAAACTTAAATTGACAATTTTTTGTTGTATGTTTACAATTTATAACACAGCATTTTTTCCTAAATCCCATGTTCTTCATTGACAGAAGGTGTAAACAAACAAACGAATATGAAATATGACACTTGACAATATGAATATGAATTTATGAAATCTATGAAATGTGCAGTAAAAAATGCAAGATTTCTCCTCTACTCGCGCACGATCGTTTCTTGTATCACATCCAAGTACTTGCATGTCGCCAATATTAAGTAATGATCTCATAAAGTAAGTTATTAAAAATACATTTTAAGTTTTTAATTGTATAGTCTACTGCAATGTTGTCAAGTATTTTGGTTCAACAGATATAAGAACGTGGAAAAGGGAAGAAAAGGAAAAAGGAATATTTTTTACTTTACATATAAGCAGATTCATTGCAGCAAATATTGCATAGCATAACTATAGAATTTTTATCTTATAGTTTATAGGATGATTGATTTATTTTCTATATTATGCATGTCTTACCATGTTATTTTTTACGTGAAATTATTCAAAGAATGGTTTATACATTGGACTACTGACCAAAAACAAAACTTTTTTGCTCAAATATCTGTAATAGATTCCGTTTTTTGCCGAAAAACTAAATGAATTCAAATTGGTGTAGTTGCTCATGAACCTCACCAATACATAAATGGAGAGGACATTTTGGAAGACTAATAAAATTATTAAATTTTTATTTTTACATACATCCTGAATATATATTATGAATCGAATACCGTCATTTGTTTTGTATTGTCAATACTATTTAAATTGGAATAAGCCGCAATTAAAGGTTAAAGTAAGTTTATTGACGTTTCAATTTCCATTTCGGAAATCGAGGATTATTTGTTTGAAATAAGCTATATGCATATATCATGTACAAAATATGGTTTACCTGGTACCTTAAACAAAAAATGATCCGCAACAGTATGCACCAGTCTGTTTCTCTTATATAATGTTTGCACTATTAAGTAATACACATCGACAGGGATGGCTCCATGATAATAAATTATTAAGGCCGGTCCCGAATCTGGTATGTTTTCAATACCTCTTACTTCATACCCTGAAATATAAATATTATTAGACTAAGGCTGTTATGTAATACATCTATTATAATGGGCGGTTTTTTTAAATGTATAGAACTTTGAGTTGGAATAAAACAAAGACGATTTTTTAAATTAACATAAAATTGATTTTATTCAAAAGATAATCTTTTGGCATTATAATTTAAATATGATTTCTTGCATATGACCGCCACGGCTGGCTCTGACGAAGTCTAATCTAAAGGTCCAATTTTCGATGACTTTTTTCAACATTTGTGGCCGTATATAGGCAATTACGTGGCTAATGTTATTCTCCAAGTGGTTAATCGTTTCAGGCTTATCGTTAATCGTATCTGGTTAATCGTTTAGCGGCTTAACATATCCCCACAGAAAATAGTCTGGCGGTGTTAAATCGCACGATATTGGATGCCAATTCACGGTTCCTAAATGTGAAGCTATGCAGTTACCAAATGTTTCTTTCAATAACTCAATTGTAGCACGATCTGTGTGACATGTTGCGCCGTCTTGTTGCTCTTGTTGCGCCATAGCTCCTACACATCATGGTTGTTCAAATGAGTAATAAAAAAATCAGTAATCATAGCGGTCACTATTGACTGTAACGTTCTGACCAGCATCGTGTTTGAAGAAGTACATACAAATGATTCCACCAGCCCACAAAGCATGTAACCGTTTCAAAAGTTTTAGGAAATTCATTATAAATTCGATTATTTTTTTTTAATAAAACTGCTAACCCCATCTATCTGCCGGGTACTTGTAGCCGACTCAAGGTTTCTACTGTAATTCTAAACATATCCGGTAGATGAGAACGATTATTAACTTGTAATTTTTAGACCTTTACCGGTGAGGATAAAGATCATTGATTATGTTTATTTGGCTCGAAGTTAACTGAAAAGTCATATGCTGTCGTAAACGCAGCCCAATATTTCATTATGATCTAAATGGACCCCTAATAAATAATTTAATGAAATACTTAGAGGGTGAGGAGAAACAGAGCGTATCCTTTTTGTATGGTTACCAGCTATTGGATAATTAAGGTTGTACCATTCTTTTTTATTATATCCTAGCGAGAAAGCGAGAAATAATTATGGACTCAGAGAAAGGAAATATAGCAGTATTTTAATTTTGTTTAAAATTTAACTTTTCTATTATGCCTAGTTAATAAATAACTACTATAGTATTTTAAATGTAAACGAATTTCGAAATTTGGAAATAATATATAAATTCATTTGTTTTTAATAACCAATTCTTAATTTAATACGATATAAAGTGTTTTGTTTATAGTAATGTAAATATGAAATGGCATTTTAGTATCCTTTGGGAATATAACTTTTAATGTTTCTTTTTATTACTGAAAAATAATTAAGTGTAATTTCGCTGTAAACTTTCTATAAATCTTATTTTTTTCTCTCCTCGTCCCCTTCGAGGATAAACCGGGGGTGGCGTCCAATAATAAATTATAATTTCAGATTATCTAATTGTGTTTGGATTTTTGAGATACTACGTAGTTTCTATACATTTGACCGTACCCCGCAATTTCTCTCCGACATTGAGCGATTCTGGCCTTGAATTTAATTTGTGTGCTAAATGTTTATTAAGCATCTACGCTACAAGCACACCAAACAGTCAGTTTTTCTGGATATAATTGTATCTCAACATACACTTGAGGATCATCTTCACTCCAAATACGGCAGTTTTGTTTGTTGATATAACCATTCAACCAAAAGTAAGCTTATGTACCAGTTAGTGACCGCCAGATAAAAAAGTATTGCCAACTTACATTTCTATACCTTAAAAAAAACCACCCTTAAAAAAATAAATCCTTATTTCCTTATGACACACCATAACTAAAAAAACGACTATAAAGGTTTCATTCATCTTTTCTTGAAATTTTCTCATAGTATGTAGAAGGTTCTTGCGAAAAGAAAATGTAAGAAAATTGCACAGAAAATAAAGGAAATTAAGAAAACTCAATTCTTCTCTTCTTCATGTACCATGTCCTTTCAGAACGTTGGTTACCATCATAGCTATTTTAATTTTATTCACTGCCACCTTAAATAGCATGCTTGTATCTACACCATACCAGTCTCGCAAGTTCTTCAACCATGAGGTTCTTCTTCGTCCTGGACTGCGTTTGCCTGTTATTTTTCCTTGCATGATGTTTTGTAGCAATCTATATTTGGGACCTCTCATTACATGTCCAAAATATTCCAGCTTTCTCTGCTTGATGCTTTTTATGATCTCAGTAGTCTTGCTGAGACGTTCTAGTATTGTGCAGTTACGAATCTTCTCCACCCAGGAAACTTTTAAAATTCTTCTATAGCACCACATTTCGAAAGCCTCAAGGCGATTTAGATCGATTTTATTCACAGTCCAGGACTCGACAGCATAAAGTAAGACCGAGAACACGTAGCAGCGAAGTAGGCGGATCCTTAATGCCAATTTTAGGTCTCTGTTACATAACACCTTGGACATCCTTCTAAAAGCAGCTCTAGCCTGCTCTATTCTGGATCTAATTTCGCCGTAATTTTCTGCATTACAATTTAAAAAACTCAATGATTAATTAAATTTCGCGCGTTTAAAAATTTCGCGTTTGACAGTTACCATGATTCAAATGTCGTATTGGATAGTGCAGTGGTGAGTAAGCATGTATGTTCTTAATATTATACCTTCTATTAAGGAATTTTTAAATTAATTTTTTGTGATACATGGTATACAGCCAGCAACAGGAATTTAGTTTCCTTCTGAAATTCGTTAAATTTCTCGTGCTCGAATCGGTATCAATAGAGTGTTATGACTCATTTTAGCATTCCTGCTTCGTCAGACACTCGGGATGATATAAATTCAAACTCGGAAAGTCCAACGAATGTCTCCTAAACCTTTACCACTGCAGTGGTTAGCGTACAGAGGTGCCACCCACTTTGGTGGCCATGAACGAAAACGATTTAATAATATCGTTTTTCGCATTCAAAGTAGGTAGCACCTCTGTACACTAACTACTGCAGTGGTAAAGTTGTAGGAGACATTCGTTGGACTTTCCGAGTTTTAATTTGTATCAGCCCGAGGGTCTGATGGAGCAGGGATGTGGAAATGAGTCATAACACTCTATTGATACCGATTCGAGCACGGGAAGTTTAACGAATTTGTCTTCCTATGCTATATATTTGGCTATTCAATTCAACAAAGCGATATCAGCTTTTGCTAAAGAAGATGTAATCTTTTACATATAAATATATATATATATATATATATATATATATATATATATATATATATATATATACCTCTGGATCTTCCACAGCGCACAATTTCTTTCTGGTGCTTCCTATTTCCCCGTTTCTCATCACATGTTCTTTCACAATTATTTTTGGTACTTTCGTTTACATATCATTTACTCTGTTTTCTCCATCATATACTTCGTATAATTTTGCTTTACCAAATTTCCTTTAGCCTTATCTAAAGTCCATGCCTCTCAACACATGAAACCTTGCCAACACAAGTATAAAATAGTACGGTATAATTAAATAAATAAAAGTAATAACCGCTACTACATATTAAGGAATATGCATATCTAATTACAATGCTCCCATACATTATTCAGTAATGGAAAATATTTGTTAACAATAAGAATAAAAAAAATATTAAACAAACATTAATGTTCTCACGAAAATTGTCTATTCACACGAACTATAAACGGGTCAAGACATTTAATTTGACTTAATAAAATAAGTTTTATTATACAATAAAAGGTACAAAAAATAACTTTGCAGTAAAATATATACCAACAAAATAAGTACAATAATTATAAGAAATGTTTCTGTTCCGACATAACTGTCCAATTCTATTTTGATCAAAAATTACAATTTTACCTTATTTATTTCAGTATCTAACTTTTTTAGTACGTACGGTCCAACTATTAGTATTGTTATAAATGGACGAATAAGAATAATACACCGTATTGCAAAAACAAAGAATGCTTAATTCTAGGTGAAACAACAGAAAAATTAAACAGATGGGCGAAATATTTCGAAGATCTATTAAATACAGAACAACAAAAGGAACTTGAGGGAAATGAGAATTGGCAAGAAGACGAAGAAGGGACGTGCGAGGAATGAACTCTGAATGAAGTCAAAGAAATAATAGGGACCTAAAAAATAACAAAAGTGCAGGGGAAAGTGGTATCCCAGATGAGATTTTTAAGGAAAGTGGCGAAATAATTATGGAAAGGATATCTCACTTGACACTAATAATTTGGCAAAAGCAAGCAATTCCGAAACAATGGAATAATGCCCCTATTTGTCCTATATTTAAAAAAGGAGACAAAACGGAGTGCGAAAATTATAGAGGTATAAAACCATTGGAAGTATTCTATAAAATACTTGCAAAAATTATTAGGAAAAGATTAATAAAATATGATAACAAAGCATGATGCTTTTGGTATGTACCACAGTCCTAAGCCAGCCTGTACCATATATAATTTTTTGTACAGAAGGTCATTATTCTTCAGGAGAAAGCTTGCATAAAATTATTTCAATGCGTGAACACCATGTGCTCACTCATCGACCTCGGGATTGGAGAGTGCACTAATCCCAGCACATATCTGAAAGTATGAGAAGTGAGAAGCCAGTTCGGCTTCTCACTTCTCATGTGTGCGGCTGTCTGTGGTTGATGATTAAGCAAGGTGTAAGTTTCCGTCTGAAAATAAGCCAAAAAAAAGGTGATGATCAAATCAATTAGAAATATACTTTTTTGATTTAGATCCTATAATCATGTTTAATATTGATACTTCTCGAGAAGCATTATTGCTTAGAATGTTAATGCTGGCATCAAAGAAAATATTAACTTACCATGCCATATCCATCCGTGAGCATCCCACAGTGCGCCGACTGATTTTCTAGCTGCATCCCACTTGTCACCAGTTTTTAAAGTTCTTTTAATAGATTTCCAGTGAAGTTTGTATATATAAAGCATAAAAGCACTACAATATAGGAGAAGTGCAATCACAGCTGGTAGAAGGAAAGTTATTATTAGGGGCGCTAAAAACCATGTTATCCATAACGAATAGTCGATGTCCACGTAATTAACTGAAACAAAACAAAATAAATGTTATTAAGGTATTTTATATTAATGTCTATTAATAAAATTCCACTTTCTACATGCTGGAACGATTTTTAGGCCCTACAGTTATCCAGGTACTTTGTTCTTCCATCCATGATGCATCGAACCGATCGCAAATGAAATTGAAGAGTTACAAGATAAAAATTATTTTACAATCCACTCGAAGAAGTATCCAAACAGTCTAGCGGATCTAGTTCTGTCACCATAAGCACACCAATTCCAATGACAGCTTGTTTATACCAGGAGTATCACAGAGGTCAACACTTAAGTGTGAACTTGCCGAAAAGCCGAAGTAAAAAAGAATTTGGGACCATTGAACAATCCATAATTCCAGTAATAGCAACAATACTGGATCCAAGATTTAAAACCATACACTTTAGGCATGGTTTTAAATCTTTCATAGATAAAGGAAAACATTCCAAAATCAAGGAATGAGCTCCCAATCTTCCCATAAGAAACCTTATGGGAAATATGGAAACTCGTGGAAATTCCACCAGATTTATGGAAATAAACGAAGGCAGTATATACAAAGTTATATAAGGTTAGACAAAAATACCTGTGTGTTGTAGCAACTTCCGTTCCTAAGAAACAATTGCTTTCGAAGACCGGAGCAAATGCTACCAAACCAAAGAACCGCTTAATAGACAAACGATCCTACAAATGAATGTTTTTGAACTCACTGCCACAAGCATTCAATTTACTTTGTAGGTGCTTCTTTTCTTTTAAATTTTGAAGAAAATTCCACCGTTTTATTTATTTATTAGTTTTTGAAGTGAATATTTTTTGTGTTTGCATGAGTGTTGCAGTTTCGCAACGATACATGAACATTTATTAAATATGAACAGTCTTTTTGTTAGTTTCGATTCTCCCCGTAGTATATTTATACCAGATTTGCCTATACGAAATAATGCAGCTATTTTAAGAAATAAAGTCTCAAGAAGCCATCTGCCAAATATCGCCACATGTGTGTACCTAAGATAAAGGTTTTGCATTCCATATAGTAGACAGTTGAGTTTCGTCTTCGAAACGACCGACACGTGGTTTGCTGTGAGGGTTGTGCATTCTACCTCTCAATTTGTTTGTTGGATTCCTGACTTTTCACCGGACCAGAGGGTTCACAATCCCATTGTGGCTGGAATTAGTTCATTGGGTAAATACACACAGTATATACATCATAATTTATTGTTGGATGGGCTAACTACATATTTTGTGCCCAAATATCTCATATTGTATCGCGGTTTTTGAACTTTTGACGTTTGTTTGCTGAACTTTATATTTCGTTGTGTCGCCCGTTGACAATATTTACGTTTGCGTACAGATATTTGACTGTATCCGTAATTATTATTGACTTAGTTGCATTCATAATCTTGTTAATTAATTATTAATTGACAACTTATTAGATTGTACTAGTTTTGCTATTCTTTTGTGTCTTTATGAATTTACTACTTGCATTTATTTTATTATTAATTTAATGTGCATTTTATCACCTGATATATACCGAATATATATATATATATATATATATATATATATATATATATATATATATATATATATATATATATTTTTAATTTATTTTATTGAATTGTTTTTGTACCATTGATGTGCTTATACTATATGTCAATATTTTTGTGTTTAATATGTTTTTGTGCTTGTAATTTGGTATATATACGAAATTATTTTACTGCTTTCGGTCAGTAGTTTTTTTTTTGTTAGAATCGACATTTTTGTTTTGGTTAGTTTATGGTTGTCTTTTGGTATGTCGTTTCGTATTGCGTAATTTTAAGTTTGTATATTCTTCTTTAGTTGTAAGTGTATATTTGCTTATAAATATTTATATTTTTAATTTCATTTCTTTTATTTTAATATACAGTCCTCTGATTTTCATTTCTTTTATTTTAATATACAGTCCTCTGATTTTCATTTCTTTTATTTTAAATATACAGACTCATTTCGAAAGGGGAAAACCAGCGGGTTCTAGATTGAACAAAATATCTTCTATCCCCCTTCAGGTTGACCTCAATTGTTTTATTGAGGTCATCGTATGTGCAAAACGCAACAATGAGCCCGAAATCATTTTTAGCGTGACTCGAAAAATCAACACGCGTGCAGTAACATTGTGGTATACAGTAATATACGTAATATTTAACAAACGTCATTTTATTTTTGAAGTGAATACTTCTTATCGCTCGGTATGACATTTTTGCAAGGGAACGAAATCATATTTAGCGTGACTCGAAAATCGAGACACGAAAATTGACACAATTTTATTTTTTTTCATAACTTTTTTATAAGAACGGTAAAATACGGAATTTGATTTTAAAATATTTGTACAATATTAAATAAAAATAAATTAAATTTAAAAAAATTTAATTAAAGCAAATAAAATGAAATAAAATAAAATACAATTAAATCAAATTAGATAAAATTATATGAAATTAAAATAAAATGAAATAAAATTAAATAAAAATAAATGAAATTAAATCGCATCAAATCGAATACAATAAAACAAAATAAAATCCATCGTTTGGGCAAACACAATAAGAAAGCTACGTTTCCCCCTTCGGTCTCTCCCAGAGTGCCACATCCCGTTTTTTGGTTTTTTAAAATTATCAAGTTCGCGGACAGTATTGCATAATAAAATGTTCCCAGAAACGCGCATCTTTTAAGAACGACAGTTTATCGAAAATAAAAATACTATGAATACAATATATATTCTTGACAAAAAAATGGGAAGCGGCCCATACCGTCTTGTCCCTAGCAAAGTATATTTTCGTGAGCTGCATACATGACGGCGTTTCCCGTCACACGAAAAATGAGAGAAAACGGACGAATTTATTAAAAACAATAATTTTATTGTATATGGTAGCCTTTGAAGCAAAGAACACAAAGGGTTCCACATAAAGAGCTGGCCTGCTGGGGCACGTTTTACAAAGATACTTGGTCTCCTTTCGTATAGACTTTAATGCACAAAGTTTGCATCTCAAATGGTAGGATTTATTTGGATCTTTTGGGTTTGGTATCTTATCAGGAAAGTGCATTTCAGAAACAGTGTTCCTGCTTGCTATTTGTTGATCCAGTCGTCGCCTTTTACCACCATGTAATGGTCCAGTCTTCACCAAGTTTCTTCCATCGTACTGATCTTTATCAATTCTCAAATATTCTGTTACAGTTTATTCGCGGAACTGAAAAAACGATAACTTTTTGTCTATTGTTCTTTTATGTAAAATGTATTCTAAAGAGAAATGTCTAGTAGATGGTCCTTTCCATTGTTTTTTATTGTACGCTACTTGTAGCCAATTTTTCATGGCAGTCCTTTTCAGATCATCTGTCCATCTCATAGGTCTGCCTCTGGGTCTTTTGTGTTGGTATGGTCTCCAGGTTAAAATTGATCTGTGCCATTTGTTTAGATCGCTTCTAGCTACATGTCCAGCGTATTCCCATTTAAACTTTAATGATTTTTGCACCACATCGGTGACTTCGGTTTTCTGTCTTATCCATGTGTTTGTTTTCTTGTCCTTAAGTGATATACCTAGCATTGCTCTTTCCATCGCGTGTTGAGTGACTCTAAGTATATTCATATTCTTTTTTGTGATTGTCCATGTTTGTGCCGCATAAGTTAATATCGGAATAATGCATGCATCAAAAACTTTAGATCTAAGATGTAATTGAATTTGTTGATTTCTGAGTATATAGTTCAGTTTACCGAATGCTGCCCAAGCCAACTTTCTTCTTTTTTTTATTTCTTCAGTTTGAATTTCCCTATTTAGGATTATTTTTTGTCCTAAGTATATATATTCTTCAACTTTTTCTATAACTTTATCGTTTATTATTGTCACGGTGTCTTCGGAGTGCATGACTTTTGTTTTGTTTAAATTCATTTTCAGTCCTATTTTAGAAGATTCGGTATGTAGTTCTAAAAGCATGGTTTGCATTTCTTGTAAGTCAGTAGCTATCAGGATTATGTCATCTGCAAATCGTAGATTACTGAGGTAGCGGCCATTGATGTTTATTCCCTTATATTTCCAATTTAGGTTTTTAAAAACGTCCTCCAAAACTAAGGTGAACAGTTTGGGTGATACAGTATCTCCCTGTTTGACTCCCCTGTTTAATGGTACAGGGTTCGTGTGTTCATTTTCATTTAGGTAGTATGTAGCTGTAGCTTGGTTCATAGTTTCTTTTATTAAGTTAATATATCTGCTGTCTATTCTACAATTTTGCATTGCGTTTATTACGGCCGTGTGTTCTATGGTATCGAAAGCTTTTGCGTAGTCTACAAATGCTAGGAAAACTGGAAACTTGTATTCGTTACATTTTTCTATTAATATTTTTGTGGTTAACAGGTGATCGGAAGTTTAATAGCCTTTTCTAAAACCTGCCTGTTCATATGGTTGGTATTCGTCTAATTTCCTTGTTAGTCGAGTAGTTATGACTTTGGTGAGTATTTTAAACAGGTGTGACAGTAGGCTGATGGGTCTGTAGTTTTCCAATTTTCGACTATCACCTTTCTTGTGTAATAAGATTACTTTAGAGTTGTTCCAGCTCTTAGGGACTTTGCCCTGATGTAAACAACTGTCCACAAGCTTAGTTACAATTGCAATTAGTTCCTTACCTTCTTCTAATATCATATCTGTGGTAATACTATCTTCTCCTGCAGCTTTATTTCTCTTCATGTTTTCCAATGCTGTAGTTACCTCTGAAATTGTTACTTTTGGCATTATTTCTGATCCAACATTTTTTATTAATTTCCGTGCTGGTCTCATCTCATCATCTTGTTGATGTGATCTGTAAAGTTCTGTGTAAAATTCTTCTATTCGTGTCAGTATGTTTTCTCTACTTGTGATTTCATTTTCGTCTTTTCCGATTAATGATATCATCTGACGTCGTCCTAGTGTCGGTCTGAGGCATTTCATACTCTTATTTTTTTCAATAGTTGTTGTTATTAATTTTTCGTTTTCTTTTCTTT